CAAACCTCCCTAAGCCCCTCTGGAGACCCCCCAGAGCTCCCCCTGGGAATTCTCCAAACCTCTCCAAGCCCCTCTGGGGACCCCTAAGCTCCCCTGAGCTCCCCCTTCACCCCCACATCGGGCATCTCCCCCCACAACTCCCGGCCCAGGGGGGGCCTGGAAAGAGGGTCTGGGACCCCCAGGACTCCCCAAACATCCCCAGGCCCCTCTGGGGACCCCCAAAACCCTCTGTGGGGACCCTCCAAACTGCCCCAAGCCCCTCTGGGGACCTCTTCACCCCCACATTCAGCATCTCCACTCCATCACACACGCAACTCCCATCCCGCAGAGCTCTGGAAAAAGGGTCTGGGACCCCTGGGACCCCCCAAATCCCTCTGGGGACCCCTAAACCCCCCTGAACTCCCTCTTCACCCCCATCTGAGGCCTCCCAAACCCCTCTTCATCCCCTCTTTACCCCCACATTCAGCATCTCTGTTTCATCACACACAACTCCCATCCCGCAGGCATCTGAAAAAAGGGTCTGGAAAAAGGGTCTGGGACCCCAGGAGCCCCCAAACATCCTCAGGCCCCTCTGGGGACCCCCAAAACCCTCCGTGGGGACCCTCCAAACTGCCCCAAGCCCCTCTGGGGCCTCCCAAACCCCTCTTCATCCCCCCTTCACCCCCACATTCAGCATCTCCACCCTGTCGCACGCACAACTCCCATCCCACAGGGGTCTGGAAAAAGGGTCTGGGACGCCCAAGACCCCCCCAAAAACCCCCCCCCCGGACCTGGTGCACGACGTAGATGCCGTAGTGGAGCTGCTGGCGCTGCAGGAAGGGGTGCAGGTAGTAGAGGAGGTGGCCCAGGTGGCTCTCCCGGTTGCGGTGGGGGACGATGACGGCCGTGCGGGACCGGGCCTCGCACAGGGGGGGTCGGTACCGACCCCCCGGCCCCACCCCCGGGTTCTTGGCCCTGATGAGCTCCAGGGACGGCACCCGGGCGAAGGTCACAGTCAGGGGACCCACTGCAGGGGGGGAAGAGGGGAGTAAAGGGGGGTACGTGGGGCTGGGGGGGATAAAGGACCCCGAATTGGGGTTGCCCGCCCCCCCCAGTCTCAAAGCAGGGGGGCCAGGGGAGGTGGGTGTCCCCAAAATCCTAAACCAGGGGGGTTTTGGGAATGTGTCCCTCCCCATCTCAAAGTGGATTTGTCCCCCCCAGTCCCAAACTGGGGGGTCCTGGGGGTGTGTCCCCCCCTAGTCCCAAATCAGGGGGTCTTGAGGGTGTGTCTCCCCCCAATCCCAAATCAGGGGGTCCTGGGGGTGTGTCCCTCACCCAATCCCAAACCAGGGGGGTTTTGGGAGTGTCTTCCCCCCCATCTCAAAGTGGAGGGGCCCAGGGGTACCCGAAATCGAGGGGGACTCCCAGGAGCTTGTCCCCCCAGGTGTGTCCCCCCCCAACCCCAAATCAGGGGAGCCCCGGGATTTGTCCCCTCTGTCCCAAACCAGGGGGGTTTTGGGAGTGTGTCCCTCCCCATCTCAAAGTGGAGGGGCCCATGATTTGTCCCCCCCAGTCCCAAACTGGGGGGTCCTGGGAGTGTGTTCCTGCCCCAATTCCAAACTGGGGGGTCCTGGGGGTGTGTCCCCCCCTAGTCCCAAATCAGAGGGTCCTGGGGGTGTGTCCCTCAACCAATCCTAAACCAGGGGGGTTTTGGGAGTGTCTCCTCCCCATCTCAAAGTGGAGGGGCCCAGGATTTGTCCCCTCCAGTCCCAAACCAGGGGGTCCTGGGGGTGTGTCCCCCCCCAATCCCAAACTGGGGGGTCCTGGGAGTGTGTTCCTGCCCCAATCCCAAACTGGGGGGTCCTGGGGGTGTGTCCCCTGCCCCATCCCAAAGCAGAGGGGTTTTGGGAGTGTGTCCCCCCCCATCTCAAAGTGGAAGGCCCCAGAGGTTTGTCCTCACCTCACCCCAAATCGAGAGGGACCCTCAGGAATCCCCAAATTGGGGGTTCTTGGGGTGTGACCCTCCCCACTCCCAAATCAGGAGAGCCCTGGGATTTACCCCCCCCCAGTCCTAAACTGGGGGGTCCTGGGGGTGTGTCCTCCCCCCAATCCCAAACTGGGGACCCCCAGGCTGTGTCCCCTCCGTCCCAACCCCCCCATTTCTCCCCTCGGGGATCCCCCAAACCCCCCATTTACCCCCAAAAACCCCCCGTTTTCCCTCCAAACTCCTCATTTCTCCCCTCGGGGATCCCCCAAACCCCTTGTTTTCCCCTCCCCAGCCCCCCAAATCCTCATTCCCCCCCCCAAACCCCACTTTCCCTCCCATTTCCCCCTCATTCCCCCTCCCTAATCCCCCCGTTCCCCCCTCACCGAGGAAGGGCGATCTCTCGGGGCAGTACGGGAGGGGTCTGGCGGGGTCTGGCGGCGGGGGCCGGGGGGGCAGGAGCCGGCTCAGGTTCTCGTAGACGTCGCGGGTGCGGGAATAGTCGAAGCTGGGCCCGGCCCCGCGGCCGAAAAGCGCCGTGAGGTTGCGAAACCCGCCGAGCGAGAAGTAGGCGACGAAGGCGAACTGGCAGCCGACCAGCAGCGCCAGCGAGCACGGCCGCTCCAGCAGCCGCCGCAGCATCGCCTCACCGGGGGGGATAAACCTCACCGGGACGCGGCGGCGGCGCCGGGCCGGGACGCGCGGGCAGCGGGAGGCATCGCGGGGGCAGCGCGGGGCAGCGCCGGGCACGGCGGAGGCATGGCGGGGCTGCGGGAGGGCAGCGGAGAGGGGCGGTGAGGGAGGGGAGGGAGACGGGCAGAGACGGCCGGGAGCGGCACAGACACCGCCGGGACCACCGGGATCACCGGAACACCCCTGGACCGGCTCAGACACCATCGGTACCGCGACCTGCCCACTACCAGGACCACCGGGACCGGTGTCTGCCTGGCCCCGGTACCGGCTCAGACACCGCCGGGACCACCGGGACCGGTACCAGTTCAGACAGCACCGGTACTCCCAGTAACGGCACCTGCGCACCCCCCGGTAACGGTACCTGTCCACCCCCTGTCCCTCCCAGCCCCGGCACCTGCCCGGCCCCGGCTCAGCCCCCCCCAGTCCCGTCGTGGTCCCGGCCCAGCCCCTGTTCAGCTCCAAGTCCCAGTTCCGGCCCCACCCTTGTCCCGTTCCCAATCCCGCTCCCAGTCCGAGCCCCGATCCCGCTCCCAGTCCGAGCCCCGCTCCCGTTCCGTGCCTGGGCCCGGCTCAGCCCCTCCCGGCCGCCGCCATCTTGGAGCGGAGGGCGCGGTGTGATGACGTCACAAGGCGGCCGCGCGGCGGGGTCAGGGCCGGGCCGCACCGGGTGAGGGACAACAGCGGGCCCGGGGGTGGACGCCGGGGGGGCCGCGGGAAGCGCCGGTGACCCCCGAGCGGGGCGCGGGGTCCCGGTAGGACCCGGGAGAGCCTCTGGAGGTGATGAGGGGCCGGTTCTGGGATGGCCACAACCCCACAGGGCCGTGGCCACAGCAAGCGCCGTTGCCCCGGCAACCGCGCGCGCCCCGCCCCCTCCCCGGGGCTGCCCCGCCCCTTGTTATACGTCACGAAGGGAGCGCGCTGTGATTGGGCGCAAGACCAGAAGCGGAGCGTGGTGGGCGGGGCGAGCGCACGTGTGTCCCCCAGTCACGTGTGTCCCGTCCCGGAGGTCACGTGCCCCCAAAATATCCCCCTCAAACACGGGTGTCCCATCCCGGGGGTCCCCAAAAGACCCCCCCCGAGCATCCCCCTTCCCCCCACATCGCACCCACCGCTCCATAAATATCTTTAATTAATGGCACTGCCATAAATTACAGCTTTGGGGGGGTGTGGGGATTGGACAGGGGGGTCCCTTGGTCCTGCCAGGGGGTCTCCCAAATTAAGGGGGGATAAACACCCAAATTGAGGAGTGATCAATGAACACCCAAATTGAGGGGTGATCATTAAACACCCAAACTGAGGGGGGATCCATGAACAGCCAAACTGAGGGGTGACAGCTGTCCCCATGTCCTCTGTGTCCCTGTCCCCCGTTGACACTCAGGTGCCATCAGCAACTGTTGCTTTATTCCCCGCAGCAGCACAAGCACCACAGGTGGAGGCGGCCAGTCCCTGTCCCCACTCCTGTCCCTGTCCCCACTCCTGACCCTTTCCCCACTCCTGTCCCTGTCCCCATCCCTGTCCCTGCCCCGTTCCCTCAGGGTCTCTTCACGGTGCTCTCGATGAACGACTCCAGCACAAAGATGGTCTCGTCCACCTGGTTCTCGCTGGCGTCGATCCTGGGGACAGACAGCAGTGGGCAGCCACTGGGGGGTCCCTGACCCCTGTCCTGGCCCCCTCCCTGTCCCCATCCCCATCCCTGTCCCCTCCCCATCCCCTCCCCATCCCCTTCCTGTCCCCTCACTTGTTGACGTTGCGTTTGAGGTTCTCCAGCTGCTGCCTCTCGGGCCCCGTCAGCATCTCCTCCACCTCCCTCAGCTGCTCCTCCTCGGCGCCCGTGGCCTGCATGGAGGCCAGGATGGCTTCCACCCGCTGGGACTTCTCCAGGAGCCTCCTGCCGGGGGACAGGGACACGGGGACGAGGCGCTGGTGGCTCCAGACCCCCCCCCTTTGGTCTCTCAGCCCCCGCTCCCGGCGCGGCGCTCACTTGTTCTCCCGCGTCTCGTGCTGCCGGCGCTCCATCAGGTTGGCGGCGCTCTGGGGGCAAACGGGGGTGTTGGGGGGCACTGGGGGGACACAGGGATGGGGGCACTGCCACCTCTGGGACACCTGGACACCTGGATATTGGAGCAGGAGCTCTGGGGATACAGAGCCAGGTGAGCCCCCCAACCCAGGGGTGTTGGCAGACACCAAGGGACCCCATGAGGGGACACGGGGATGGTGGCACTGCCACCTTTGGGACACCTGGAAACCTGGATATTGGAGCAGGAGCTCTGGGGATACAGAGTCAGGTGAGCCCCCCAGCCCAGGGGTGTTGGGGGACACCAAGGGACCCCACACTCACAAAAACCCAATGAGGGGACATGGGGATGGTGGCACTGGGAAGGAGGGGACTGGGACACCTGGACACTTGGATACTGGAGCAGGAGCTCTGAGGATACAGAGCCAGGTGAGACCCCCAGCCCAGGTGAGTTGGGGGACACCAGGGAACCCCATGAAGGGACACAGGGATGGTGGCACTGGGAAGGAGGGGGCTGTGCCACCTGGATTCCCTGGGAATTCCCGCTTGGATAGGCTGGAATGGCCGATGTTCAGGTGCTGGGCACTCACCTTGTAGCAGCGGTGCAGCAGCATCCGGGCAGCAGCCGCCACGTTCACCGTGTACAGGTAGAAGGTGCGGGATGGAGCGTGGTCCGGAGTCTTGGGAATCTCCTGTGGGAAGGAGAGGGGCAGGGACCAAGCTAAGGGGGTCTCCCTCCCCAGAGCTGTCCCTGGTGGGATCCCCCCCTCCCCAGAGATGTCCCTGGTGCCAGCTCCCAGGCAGGATCACCTGGAAGTGCCTGGAAACCCCTGGACAAGCAATTCCACCCGGGGGAATCTCCCGGATCCCGGATTCCCTCACCTGCAGGGACACCAGGTTCTCGGAGAGCATCCTGTAGAGCATGTCCTTGGCCTCCTTGGCCGGGATCATGGCAAAATCCTCCACCTGCTTCTGCTCCAGGTGCTTCTTGCGCAGGAGCAGGCGGAAGATCCGGGCGCAGCGGGAGCCGAACCTGCGCGGGAAGAGCGGGATGAGGAGGGAATGTGGGACTCTGGAAGGGGCTCTGGAAGAGCCTGGAAGTATCCCAGATCCCCTTGTCACCTCTCCTCCACGATGGACTCCAGCGTGGCCGTGGCCAGAGATGCCAGGGCCTTGTGCAGGTCTGCAGGGGGGTGAGGTCAAGGAGAAAATTCCATAGCTTGGAAAATTCCAGAGCTTCAGGCCTGGAACACCAAGTGTGTTCCCCTTCTCCAAAGGATACTGACGGTGTAGGTGCCCCCACCACTGTCCCCAGACTTCCCCACAAATTCCAGCTGCAGGGAGAGACAACAGGGGAGAGGTCAGGACATCCCCAAAGAAGGAAAACATGGTTGGGTTGTTTTCCTTAAAATCTGGAGTGGGAAGAAAAAAAATGGAGAGTTTGGGAAAAGAAAAAAAAATCTATGACTTCAACAAATAGTGACACTTTCAAAGGCTTTTAAATCCCTTTAATATCTTATAAATATCTTCAGTGACTATTAAATACCTTTGGGTATTAAATATCTTTGATATCTGTTCAATGCCTTCAGGATTTGTTAAATAACTTCAGTATTTGTTAAATATCCCTAGTATCATTCAAGTAACTTTAATATATGATAAATAATCTCAATATCTGTTCATTGCCTTCAGGATTTGTAAATAACTTCAATATCTGTTAAATATCTCCAATATCTTTTAAATAACTTTAATATCTGATAAATAACCTCAATATCTGTTCAATACCTTTGATACCACTTCAATGTCTCAGCATTTGTTAAATAACTTCAGTATCTGTTAAATACCTCCAATATCTTTTAAGTAACTTTAATATCTGTTAAATAATTTCAATATCTGTTCAATATCTTTGATATCTGTTCAATGGTTTCAGCATTTGTTAAATAACTTCAGTATCTGTTAAATATCTTCAGTATCTCCTAAATATCTTCAATATCTTTTAAGTAACTTTAATATCTGGTAAATAACCTCAATATCCCTTTAATAACTTTTATATCTGTTCAATGCTTTCAGTATTTGTTAAATAACTTCAGTATCTGTTAAATATCTCCAGTATCTTTTAAATATTTTCAATATCTGATAAATAACCTCAATATCTGTTCAATATCTTTGATATCACTTCAATGTCTTCAGTATTTGTTAAATATCTCCGATATCTTTTAAGTAACTTTAATATCTAAATAACTCCAATATCTGTACAAAAACTTCAAAATTGGTCAGTATCTGTTAAAAACCGTTAACTCTCAGTAAATCCTGCTTTCCCCTCGGACAGACAGAGCAAATTCCATGGAAGCATGGAATTCCAGAGGCTGGAAAAGCCCTGGAGAACCCAGGAGCACCCACCGGATCATCAGCCAGGAGCGCCAGGTACTGGTCCAGCACCTGCTTCCCAATGTTGTACCCAGCAGGAAGAGCCCGGAATATCTACATGGGGGGAAAAAAAGCAGGGAATATCAAAGGCATTCCAAGGGATTCCCAGCATTCCAGGGGCTCCCAAGGACCCACCTCGTTGGAGGAGAGGGGCTGGGTGTGGGACGCGCCCGAGGCCGTGGTCACCTCGCTCATGCGAAGCATCGTCCGCACCACCTCGCTGCTGGTCTGCACGGGGGAAAAACGGGATTCAGGGCAGGGAAAAGCCAGATTCCAGAGTGGGAATGGGGGTGGGAAAGCCAGACCTGGTCCATGCGGCTGCCCACGGCGCTGACCAGAGCCTGGTCACGGAAGTGCTGGTGGAAACGCTCCAGGTTCACCTGCCAGTAAATGCCGTCGTCCGGTGGGGGCTGAGGGGGAAAAGGGACAAAAAATGAGGGAAAAGAGGTGGGAAAACTGAGGGAAAGGAGCCATGGAGCTGGTGGGAAGGAGGCGGGGAAAAAATGAGGAAAAGGAGGCAGAAAGTGCTGGGAAATGAGACAGAAATAATGGAGAAGAGGAGGGAAAATGAGGGAACGAGGCATGAAAAAGGAGCGGTAAAAAGTGAGGGAAAGAGGCAGAAAGCTGAGGGAAATGGAACATAAAAATAAGGGAAAAGAGATGGGAAAATGAGGGAAATGAGGCAGGAAAAAGGAGCAACCATAAGTGAGGAAAAGGGGCCGCAAAACTGAGGGAAAAGAGGGATGAAAAAATGTGGAAGAGGAGTCATAAAAAATCAGGAAAAGAAGCCACAAAAAATGTGAAAGACGAGCCCAAAAAAGAGAAAAAGGAGCCACAAAACTGAGGGAAAAGGGGCAGAAAAAGTCTTAAGGAAAGGAGCCAAAAAAATGAGAAAAAGGGGCCACAAAATTGAGGAAGAGGAGACAAGAAAAGTGAGGAAGAGGAGACAAGGAAACTGAGGAAGAGGAGACAAGAAAAGTGAGGAAGAGGAGACAAGGAAAGTGAGGAAGAGGAGCCACAAAAGATGAGGATGAGGCAGCAGAAAAACAAGGAAAAGGAACCACAAAAAATGAGGGAAAGGGCTCACAAACCCCTCTGGTTTCTCCAGTTCAGGAATGAATATGCCCATCCCACCCTTCCCAGCCCCGGAATTCCCGGTACCTCCGAGCTTCCTCCCTCCTGCTTCTGCCTCTTGGCCTTGCGTTGTCCGTCCTCTTCCTCGTCGCACGAGCGTCTCCTCTTCCCTTTCCCTGCCGAGCCAAAAAACTGGCATCTCCCACCCGGAATCATGCGGCCGAGCGCTTCCCGAGGCTCCCGAAATCCCGGGAATTCCCTCACCGGTGAGGCTGAGCCGCGGCACGACGTACATGTCCCTCTCGGCGATGGCCAGGGCGGGCGCGGGGGGCGGCGGCTCCGTGGCATTCCGGGGGTTTTCCGGGACCATCGGGCACCTCCGGATGAAGTGGGTGTCTGCCAGGCGCACGAACGTGCCGGACACCTCGGCGTAATCCATGGTTTTCCCATCTGGGAGGGAGAGGAGTGGGTGGATCTGGGATATTCCTGACGCCACAGTCACCACGACGGCCGTCAACACCCCACAGACCCTCTGGGACCACATTCCCAAAGCTGATCCCAGATCCCTAGTTTTCCAAGGAGGTGCTTCCCACCCTCCATGGT